CTTTAACTAAAACTAACATTTTAATTACGAGGGCCTACAAGGGGAATATCACAGTCATTTTAGAAAAAACCACGTACCAGAAAAAGTCTCCGAATTAATTTCAGACACAAAAACATATTCTCCCATTAACTCCGATCCCACTGACCGAATTAACCGTACTTTTCATAAATTTGTAAACAACTTAGTCTCTAACAAACAAATTACTCCACAAATCTCACTGACAATTAAAAACCTTCACCCTTACAACCCCAAACTCTACGGACTTCCTAAAATACATAAACACAACGTTCCTCTCAGACCTATCGTGGCTGACCTGAACTCACCTCTTTCAAAATTCTCCAAATACCTTAGCAACATACTCTCTTCAGTCACAGTCAAGTCTCGTTTCTTTACACAAAAACTCTTTGAACTTGTCAACAATCTCCGCGATTCCGTTATTCCTGATAACTCCTTATTGGTTAGTCTTGACGTAGTATCCCTATTCACAAACGTCCCCCTACAATTAATTTTAGATGCCATCACTCACTGCTAGATGGGACGAAATCTCATGTCATACAACATTATCTCTGCATTGGTTTCTCGAGTCCATAAAATTCATAGTTTCGAATACTTATTTCGAATTCAACGACCATTTTACCTTCAAATATTTGGCACACCTATGGGTTCTCCTATATCCCCGTCACTCGCAGAAATTGCTTTACAACACTTGGAGTTGAAAGTTTTTAATTCCTACAATCTAGACCTTCATTTTTATTACAGATATGTTGATGACATCCTTACTTGTGTTCCTGTTAAAATTTCGAAACTCTTGCTTCATAGTTTTAAACTCATTTAATGAGCATCTCTCCTTTACGTTTGAAAAGAACAAGAAATTCTATCAGCTTTTTAGACGTAAAAATTATAAAAACCGCAGACAATCGAATTATCACTAATTGGTTCCTAAAACCTACTTGGTCGGGTAGTATTTAAATTATCATTCTTACCACCCTTCTAGCATGAAGATAGGCACTATTATTAATTTAGTCGACCATGCCATCCTACTCTCAGACAAACAATTTTGGCCCTCTAACTTATCCCTCATCCGCACAACTTTAATTAACAACTCATATCCACCGCACCTCATCAACTCCGTTACCTCCAACAGACTTAAAACCCTCAACAGTATGCATTCTTCTTTTTCCCCAGAAAAGAATTCTAAAGACAATAACTATATAGGCAACGTTTGTTTACCTTACGTAAAAGAACTTTTTCCAGTGTGGAAAAAACTTTTTCATAAGGTAGACATCAGACTAACCTGCAACATAGATCTAACTCTTAAATCCCTCTACACAAACCTGAAATCTCCCACTAGTATAGAACGTACTTCCAACATTGTCTACAAAATAAATTGCAATGATTGCCCTTCTACTTACATAGGTGAAACCGGACAAAATTAAAAAAAGACTCAAACAACACGACAATAATTCGAAAACCCCCACCAAAACCAAACTATGATAACAGAACACATAAAAAATTTCAAACACTCCTTTAACTTTTATAATGCCAGTATTCTCTACCATGAACGGAACACACCATTCAGAGACGTTTTGCAGAATCTTGTTTCATATCAATATGTGATCACGTGGTGAACAAAAGATCGGATTCCTCCTTACTCTGCGATAACTACCAAGTAATACTAAATAATGTTTCCAAATTTATTTCCTCTGAACAAAACTAATTGACCTTACTAACCTTGCCAACACTTCCTAGTTTAATT